CATGGACTTCCTCTCTCTCACTGCTGAGTATTGTTCTGCATTTTTCACTCCCCAAGTGTTAGCTGCCCTACTGAGCCATTCCGTGTTTTCTGTTTTAGTCTCGTGTATTGTTTTGCGTGTATCCCTGTTTAGCGGATAGCTACCTTACCGAGCCTGTTTAAGTTTTCATAGTTTTCTTAGTCTAGTCTTAGTCTTGCTTTGTCTGTTTTCCTGGTCTCTGATTCACGCCACGTCTCTTGGATTAACCCTTTGCTTGCTGTTTCTGACTCTGTTTGCCCCTGCTTGGACCTTTGCCTTCTACCTGGATTTATTTCTTGCCTTGCCTTCGATATACCCGTTTGCCATTGTCTGACCCATGGCTGTTAAAACCACGTCTCTTAATAAAAGCTTGCACATGGATCCTCACGCCTCACGTCTCGTCGGTCCCGTTACAATTGCCATGTAAATCAGGGTTGATTAAGGCTGTGTATCACCAGCAAAGTCACGATACGATACGTATCACGATACAGAGGCCACGATACGGGACTGCATTGAATTTCACCTCAGAAGAGTTTAGTAAAACAGCTGTTTATTAAACAGTGCATACTATAATGCCATTTCTAACTATTGGCAGAGCAGGCAGTTGACCTCTGCATTATGAAGGGCCTGCATAACTGTACCACAGTACAATATTGGTAATGGCATATGTTTACATTGGGCACTCCCCACCAGGTACAATATTCTGATTGTTTGCATCTTGTTTTTAAGCCCATAAATAATAATGTACTCATTCTAATAAATTTATATTGTAATGTACTCATTCTAATATATAAAAAAATCATATTTACATTGCTGGTAGGTTATCATTGCACAAATTAACACACTCTACGTTTAAAAAAACAAAAAATTAGAAGAGTTCTAAACTAATGCGCTGTCTTCACTATCTAAGGCACACACACGCTCAGTCACTCACACAGATCACATTGCGGCCGCACTCAGACATTCAAGAACAAACTTTTTAGCGTTGCCCCGCAATTTTATCAACTAAATAGCTTAATCATTCAAGAGCTACATTAACTTTCTCAACAAGGAGCTGGTAACATCATTCTTTCTAAAGGAATTAAAGCCACAGCTTCACTGTCAATAAAGAAACGTGGCAAAACGGTGGTAATTCATACATACACAGCCCCTCTCTCTCTCTCTCTCTCTAACCAGTGTTTTCAGAAAGCAAGCATGTTTATCCACAGTGGAGAGAGCGCGCGTACACATGGTTGCCAGGTTGACAAAGATAAGTTGCACGTTTAGCAGGTATTTCCGTATTGCGCAAGTGGGAAACTCTGTTTTGGGGATTACGTCTCTTTATATCAGGCAACCCCGGTTGTGTTCCCCTGCGGCCAGATTAAACCTTATTGTAGTCTATATATTATGCTCTATTCATTATTTTTTTTAGAAACTTTGCACTTTTCTACTCCGTTTTAAACATTGTTCTTGTATTCAAATTAAGCGCGGTCCACTGCTGCACACGTGCCACAATATCAATACTGGGACAGCTGTATCGATACTCGTATCGTCAAATCTCTGTGACGATACATCGTCATATTGATGTATCGAACACAGCACTAGGGTTGATAAGGAGCATTTTTAACTCCTTAAAACAAAATAAAGATGACAAAATAATATATAAAAAAAGATACATTTCCCAGGAAAACAGATCAAATCACATTTAAGAGAATTACCAAACATAAATGTCCAGGTAGACACCAGCCTATGTCAAAACGGCAATAAAGAAATTAACCGATATCCTTTGAAAAACACATGCATCATTTTCAGTGTCAACAGTCAGAATAAGCCCATTTAATTGGAAAAAGTGCCCAGTATAAGTGATTGGAAGCAATTAGCAGGTATTTCACACTCATTCATGCACACACCATGACAGTCAAAACTGTTTCATTGATACTGTTACTGTACCATAATCTGATAACAAAAAATTAACAACAATAATGGGAACCCACCCAATCTGGCAACACTGGGTGTGCCTTGTTGCTAGGAGATGCGTGACAAATGAAAAATATGTTTTAAAATCATACACTATGCGATTGTCTATCAAATCTGCCAACTCAAATCTGCAGACTGGCACTGGCTTTCGACAACTAGTGTCAACTTATCCAGATAGGGGGAAATCGAGTCAAACGTATGGTAGTGTATTCCAGCCCTTGGTGTGCTATATCTTTTCTAACTGATTAGATTTACAGTTTTCCTAAAAAATTAAGATTAAAAATCAGAAAAATCCCATAGATTTAGAATTGACGGAATGTTCAGATGAGCCAAGATTGATCAAATTCCAATTGTCAAAATTCAAATCTAAACACACGAAGCCCATTACACTCAATTAAGCAGCCATTCTATGTACTATTTCTAATCCATTTAAACTCATTTAAGCTTCCATTCTGCCTAATATCTATCTATCTATCTATCTATCTATCTATCTATCTATCTATCTATCTATCTATCTATCTATCTATCTATCTATCTATCTATCTATCTATCTATCTATCTATCTATCTGTCACATAACAACCTCCCAGAACAACCTAACAACCACCCTGAGTACCCTAGCAACCGCATAGCAACACCCTAGCAACCACCCCAAGTACCCTAGCAACCACATAGCAACACCCTAGCAACCATCCAGAATACCTTAGCAACCACATATTAACACCCTAGCAACTACCCAGAATAACCTAGAAACTACATAACAACAGCCTAGCAACTACTCTGAGAGTATCTATCTATCTATCTATCTATCTATCTATCTATCTATCTATCTATCTATCTGTCTGTCTGTCTATATTTTTCTGATACTGTATTGCCTTCAAAACATTAAAACTTTCATCTTTAAAACTAATTTTTTTTTAAAAACATTTAAAACGGGTTCAAACTTTCTGGTCTGGCTTTCTCAAGCCAACTTCAAAGTTTGTCTTGACAAACTTTTTTATCTAGTTATTCTTTGTTAACATTAGTTAATAAAAATATAAATGTTCACTCTGTTAGTTCATGTTAGCTCAGGTCCATTAAATAATACTAACTGATACACCTTTTGATTTTAATAATGTATTAGTAAATGTTCCCTCCAGGAATTGAGTATGACACCCCTTCAATAGAGGTATTTTATATTGTTAGCTACATTGTAAAGTGTTACCTATTTATTTTACTTCATTATCTTATTATTACGAACATGCTCAATAGAATAATATTTTAAGTTGCCTGTTATAAACCAGTTATTTGTGGTTCCGACCTGCAGATGTAGTTGGTCTTGCAGGACGCTTGCAGTGTCAGGCAGTTGGGCTTCTCCTTGTCCTCATATGAACAGGCTGGTACGATGGTCTGGCGTCTGCGCTCAGAACAGGCCAACTGATCCCCCAGAGGACAGGAGCAGAAGAGCATGCCGTAGCTGTGCTTGGGCGGCACCTTGTCGAAGAACTGCCGCAGGGCCTTGTGGCACTTCCGTTTGTTGCAGACTTCAGCTGTTGATACTCGGCTCGTGCAGGGGCTTATGTAAGCCGAACGGTATTTCTTACAGGTGTCGTTTAGGTTGCAAGCCTTCGCTGCGTTCAGGCAGTTGTTCTCTTTTGCTAGTGCTGGCTCACCTGCAAAGACAAAGATGCATAATATAGAAGACAATATAACTAATATGACCACAGATACACTCTGCATGTTAATCATTTTTTGGAGAGAGGGTGTTTGGTTGAAATGAAATTAGCAGCTAAAACCAGCTAAAATTGCTTTAAATCTATATAAGGAAAAAATTAATAAATTGACAAAAAAAAAGAAGATAAAAATGAAATTAATTAAAAAGAAAGGTAAAGAACAAAGACAGAAAAACAAAGAGTCTGATACAATCCACAGCTCTGAAACCCTTGCTCCACAAAAAATATTTTATTTGAATACCCTACGGCACTGTGACAGGCATGTCAATTAATCATCCCTGTTTCTGCAGGTCTGCCAAAACACAGAGGCGGTTTATAAGGAACCTGTTTTTTGTTTTGGGTTGTTTTTTATGTTAAACGAAACAGTGCTCATCCCTTTGGATCCCTGCAGCCTAAACAAACAGTCATCTTGGCCGAACAGGGGAGTCATCAAAGCGGCCAGCACGGCTCTGCTCTCGCCTGTCAGCTGTGGCTAATTGCTGGCTTTCTAACACATTACACAATTAACTAACATTTCTGGAGACTTGCTGAGCTACAGCAGCAGTTTGGCCTATAATGAGAGCCAATTAAAAACAAGAGATGGGTTGCATTAGAGTGAGGGTGGAGCATACATGTGCATGTGTTTTTCTGTGTGCGTATGTGTGTTTAAAGACAGCGCTAATAAGATGGTTGTTTTTAAGGAAGCCTGAGAGGAAACTGTATCCTCAGAGCCTCTAGCAGTGGGAGGTGATGTCATTCGGATATGTAAGTCAAGTTGGATCAGACTAAGGCTAAAAACAGGTGTATGAAACACCTTGAGCGGCCTTTCCACTATCACTGACATTTGTGTAAGTTTGTTGCATTTCGCTGGTTAGTGGCAGTTAGATGAGAGTTTGAAATTGCTTGTGAAGCAGCAGTTTTCCTCCACTAGGTAAAATGACCGAATAATGAACTTATGAATATATCCCCTCAAAGTCAATGACCACCAATATGTCTGAAAGAGAAGTAGGTTTTCTAGTGCTAATCACATAATTATTCATATCAACCCACTTTACAGAAATAATAATTATTAATTCCTTGTGTTCATAGTTTTTATTAGAATACATCACATTGGGTCGGGCAGTTGCATACAGTCTAGCTGCAAAAATTCAAATATTCCGCACCCAAAGTTTAAATTGATTCCAAAAATTCTGCATACGCATATGACTGGAACTCCTCGCAGCTCCTGTAGTGCTCTCTATTAGAAATGAATGACTTCCGGACTGTCGTTTGTCATTCAGTGAAAAGAAGGCTAGAAGTCGTCAGGAAATCAACCCTATTTACTTCCATAATGTATTTGTGCTCAATTCAAAGCAAAATGTCTTTTTAACAAAACGTATAAAAACTTCTGCTTCAGAAATGTCTCAGCTATTATCACAAATCCATTTAACTTTTTTAATCCTTCCTCTTCAACCACCTTGTTGTGGTACATAGCTTTTCAATGCAGTGCGTTACTGATAATGCTGCACAATGATATGTAGAACAACTGAGATCAGTGCTCAGTGATGACTGTATCACTACCAAGTAAAGTAAAGCTACTGAAGACAGTAGCAGATACTGTACACTACCATTCAAAAGTTTGGGGTCAGTAACGTTTTATTAGAATAAAAATAAATTAATTTTACATTAATACTTACATTCATCAAAGAAAAAAAGTATCAAGATTTCCACAAAAATATTAGGCAGCTGAACTGTTTTCAGCATTGAAAGTAAGAAATATTTATTGGGACAAAATCAGCTTATTAGAATAATTCAGCTTTTCCATCACAGCAATAAATTACATTTAAAAAAAAATTTAAGTAGAAAAAAAGTTGTTTTAAATTGCAAAAAAAAAAAAACATACTGTTTTTACATATACAGTATATACTGTAATTTTGATCAAATAAATGCAGCCTTGGTGAGCATACACAATAACAACCCCAAACTTTTGAACAGCAGTGTATCTTTCAGAGATGCACTTTGACCCCTTGACCTTCTATAGAACAATGCAAAACAACACCGCTCCACTCCATCTGTTAGCTGTCTGGACTGTAATTCAACACACACACACTTACATGCATTCAAACACACACACACACACACACACACACAGAAGCATGTATACACATTGAGAGTCCATCTGCTCAGACAACATCTGCCCATTCAAGCCCTTCAGCACAGAAAGGTCTCTCTCTCTCTCTCTCTCTCTCTCTCTCTCTCTCTCTCTCTCTCTCTCTCTGACTCTGAGAGTGGGTGCTTATCTATGTGTGGAAGAAAAAGTGGAATGCAATCTCGTCTATTCATAAACAGTGTGATGTTCTCAGTCAGGGCATCAGACATGCACACACACAGACACACACACTTTCACATAGGCTCTCAAAGCAAGAAAAAAGCCCTCTCTGCTGAGTTCCACTACTGTCAAATGACATCATCAAAAAGCATTGTGTGTGTGAGAGTGTGTGCAATGCGCTCTTCTGATCTGATGCCCTGAGGCTGACAAGAATAAAATACCTATTCTGTGGACTGGCACAAAGGACTTCAGGTTGAAACGATCCTCAACAGCTGTCTGAGTCATTCACCTGTCATATGAAACCTTAGTACCAGATGTCACACTGAAGACACTGACCATTACACATGAACACACACAATCCACATAACAAGTATCTTACATTAACACTCATCGAGCACCAGATAAAAGTAAAAAGTCACTATGGTGAATAAATAAAACAGATTTACTTGAAGTTGGCTGGTAATTTAAAAAATAATTACAACATAATACAGGGTTTAAATCAAATCATCTACCAAGTAAAACATCTGTATTGACTTGTGTCTTTTCTAAGTTTTACGTCAAATATTAAATTTTTTTAATCTTTACATACTCAAATTTAAAGTTGCAAATATTTTTTATTTATTTTAGAATTTAAAACATTGAAATAAACAAATATTATGTTGTAATAAAAAGTCTCTTATGCTCACCAATGCTGCATTTATTTTTATTATATTATATTTATATTATTTTTTTGTGGAAACAGATACATGTTTCTTTTAAGTTTTTCTGATGACTTAAAAGATCAAAGAACAACATTTCTCTCTCTCTCTCTCTCTCTCTCTCTCTCTCTCTCTCTCTATATATATATATAAACTATACAATATAATATAAAAGGTCTTTGTCACTTCTGATCAATTGAATGTGTCATTGATGAATTATTATGTTTAATGTGTTATGTTATAATAATTATACAATAATAATGTTTGTAACAAATAATAATAATAATAATAATAATAAAGTAAGAAAAGGACACAATGTCACTGACCATTAACTGGTACTTTTCAATCTATTCAAAATCAAGGATCATTATGCATTAACCATAAAACATAAGTGTGTTTCACGAACACTAACATCACACATTACATGCTGCAGAGCTCCTTCACCTCACACACACTGGCCATCTGGCCTGGTAGGTAGAGCAGGAACCCCCTTCCCTACTGTGTCTCGTCTCTGATACAGCCTCAAATTGATTAGTGTCTCCTATTTCCTTCCCCTTTTGGCTCTAATTTTCAATTAGCAGGAGAATCAGTCTGAATAATGACCTTGAATGCTATTGGAACAAATCTGGGGTGTGTTTACAGATCTGCTTCTCATGTTTTATTTGGACCTTTGTTATCCATCTGTTCTTTCCTTGAGCCAGCACGGCAGTGATCCAACTGTGGGTAAGTAAAGACTTGGCTTTTATTTTAAAAGGAAGTTGTTATGATTATAAATAAACTCTTATAATGCAGCAGTTAATATCTATAAAAAAATCAGTTCTGCCTTTATTTTATTTTATTTTTTTAAATGGAAAAATAAATAAATAAAATATACAAACAATTATGATGCAGTTGTTAAAATGTGTGTTCTTAACAAGTTGGAGCTCACATAATCACATGGGTTTGTGTTCCTGTAGATCAACCTGCAAAGTACATGTAAGGTGCTAACAGCACCATAGTCATGAGTTCGATTCTCAGGCATATTCTGATAAAATGTCCAAATCCTCCCTTTTCCCATACTGTTCTATCTAACAAAAAGGCAAAAAAACTCCAAAGTAAAATTTAAATTTTCTCTCTCTTCTGTGCTGTTTTAACATACTTTCTCTCCAGGATCAGACAACTGAGGCCTGATTAAATCCTAATAAAAGCCTCACCTGAGGGCTAATGGGAAATGTACAGTGAAACGAGGAAGGGAGGCCAGCGCACATACTTTATCTGGAACTGTAATGTCACCAGCGATTAGCAGAGAGGTCGAGGATTTGATTAAAACACCACCATGATTAGAACCTGATGTCCTCTTGAGTGCATGCGTGTGTGTGTGTCTCTTTAACGGTCTATCTGTCTTTCAGGTGATTGTTTTCAGTCACTGGACTGCAGAGAAAGTAAAAGAAGAGACAATTATAGAAAAAAGATGGTAGTGAGACTAAAAGGATGGGAAACATTAACAAATACTTTGACAGAGACTGTTAGTGTGTGTCAAGGTTTATCTCTCCCTGCAGTCACACAGATGTAGTGTTTGATAATATAAGGTAAGGATTGTGTTTGATAATGAGCTGTAATTAGTCCGCTCTAAAGGAGCTTTGACAAAGCCCTGTGCAGTTCTTATGCACACTGTAACTGCCTGTTTATCTGATATAAAATAAATACACAAGCATATATTACATATTTACAACTGAAGCACCATGCACTAAGAGTGACAAATAACAGGACATTTTATTGAGGGCTTGGTTTCTATTCATAGAGTTGTTAAGTAGCCCCACCCACAGTGAAAAATCTAATTTGTCCAAAATCCTTTTCCAGAACTTTATAATAAGCATCAAATATCCTCTGATTTGCTGAGACTGTGTCATGTCACATAAGAGTTTCATGTTGAATGACAGATGATGAAATTAACATGAATGTCTATAGGTTTAGAC